CTTCTTTATTTCTTATGCTTGATTGATCACTGGTGAAGATCCTTCTTTCAAGGACCTTACAATTGGTATCAAAGCAAATCTGGTGTCAATCAAGTGTGTTCTTCAGCTTTTCGATTTTTCACAGCTATGTTCTTCACGTTCTCGGTGTCTAGAAACTTACTGTTTGCTAGTGTTTTGAAGATCAGATCAGATGTTGCATCGTGTGGAATTAAAATCTGCCTGGAAATCAGTTTTTCATTGAATTCTCACTGTTTTCGGTTGGATCTTCATAAACCGAAAACATATATTCAACCAATTTCTGTCAGGTCCAGTGTGTTTTGAAGCTTCATTTGGTATTCTCATTGCGTGGAAATCAGAATCGAATCAGAAAACCAAGTTTTTCATTGAAATCTATTAGTTTTCGAATTAAATCTTCAAAAACCGAAAACTGTTCTTCAACCGAAAACCTTTGAATCTTCATCAATCGAAAACTGTTCTTCAACCGAAAACCTCTCAACCTTCAGAAACCGAGCACCACTCATTAACCGAAATCTCTTAATCTTCATAAACTGAAAACCCCCTTTATCACCCTAAACCGAAAACCCTCTTTCAACCGAATTCATCGTTTTCGGTCATCATCTCTCAACCGAAAACCTTATCCTTTCATCATACCGAATTCTTTGATTTTCGGTCACACACATCAACCGAAAACCCATTCTATTTGATCTTTTGATTTTTTTTTCAAGTTAATTTTTATTAAAAATTTAAAAAACAACACAACAAAAACAAAAACAACAAAAATTAAAAAAAAATGGAATCTCAAAGCATGTCAGCTCACCATGAATTGGATGCAATTATGGGAACCACTTCTCGAATTCCCCGACTGTTATCCGCGGAAGGATTTCCAGAATGGAAATATCGGATTGAAAAGTACATCAAAATGAAAGATTTCAAGATTTGGCGAAGCATTTTGAGAGGTCCAATCCGCATCACAACAACATTGGAAGATGGCACAGTAATGGATAAGCAAGTTGAGAATTACACTGACGATGATTTTGAAAGAGTCGAGGAACAGGAAAAGGCTCTTGATATACTTACCATGGCATTATCTCCGGAAATTTCTCAAGGTTTCCGTGAGTACACTTCAGCAAAGGCCTTATGGGAAGCACTGATTGAAGTCTATGAAGGCAATGAAGACATGAAACAGAGTCGTCAAGACATGCTGCGAAAAAAGTTTAATATGTTTAACCATGTCTTGGGAGAAACACTTGAGAATCAGTTGCAAAGGTTTATTACACTTACCATAGAAATGAGCTCTGCTGGTGTTATGGTTACAAGATCTGAGATCAACAAGAAGCTGCTAAACTCTCTGCCAAAATCTTGGAATATGAATTTCTCAGTGATTAAAAAGACCAAAGATTTGAACCGTTTGAGTTTGGTAGAAACAATGGCAATCATTAAGGCTTGCGATCTCGATGACAAGCAGAGGGAGATTAACCATGTCAATTCATACTCCACAGCAAATCTTGGGATTCAAACCACCAACAACACAGCTTTCTCAAGCTTTTCAACCCCTCAAGCTCCTTCAGTTTCTCATGTTTCACAAGTTCAACCCTATGTGACTCATCAGCCTACCTCACACGTGATCCCTCAAACGCAACACATTCAAGTCCCTCAACCTCAAACTTTATCTCAACAAGTTGGTTCTAGTGTTGGTTCATCCACAGCTGCACCCGTTCAATCTCATGGATTCAGTTCTCAAGCTTCATCATTGAAAGAGAAGGAAGAAAATATGGCCCTCGCCACTGGTCTGGTGAACTGTTACAACGCTTTTGTGGCCGGAGAGCTTTCCCCACAACTATCTTTTGCTGACCTAGACCAGATCCATCCAGAGGATGTAGAGGAGATGGACATCACCTGGCAAATGGTCATGGCTGTTTTTAGGGCAAAGCTATTTTCCAAGAAAACCGGAAAGAACAATTGGAGTGTGAACTCTGACAAGAAAGTGGGGTTCAACAAAGGGAAGCTGCGATGCTACAATTGTCATGAGCCTTGGCATTTTGCAAGGGAGTGTCCAAAGCCAGACTGAAGAGAGAATTCTGATCGAACCATGGTGCCGGTGACCTATGTCAACAAGGGATCTTCTTCAAGCAATCAGACTGCTAACTTGGCAATGGTGGCCCAATCCTTTGATTGGGAAGATCAAATTCAGGCTCTGAATATTTCAGGACCTGAAAATGCACATCTTGCCCAGATCAAGGATGGTGTGGAAGAAGAAGCAGAGAGAGACCCAGAAGAAGAGATGATGAATCTTCAGTTCGCGTTCATGGTGCAAACTACTCTTGAGCCAGCCAAACCCAAGGTCAGTGAACTTGGTTGCTCTCAATCTTGCATTAAGACTGTTAAATTCTTACGTGACCAAATTGAATTAATCAAGAGAGAGAACGAGGACCTTAAGTATGAGGGTTACACACTTAGGAAAAATCAAAAGCCTTTAAAAACACAATTAGAGAATAAAACAAAGGACTTTAAGAAATTACAAGAGGATTACAGCAACAAATGCGAGAACTATGATCATCTCAAAAGAAAATTTACTGCTGTGACCGCTGAACTTGATTCATTGAAAAATCGTCTTGAAAATACTGAATTTATTTTTAATAAATTCGATGGGTCAAGTGAAGTAGTTGCAAAAATGATAGAGGGACAGATGCAGTGGAAGGACATTACATGTGGAAACCAAAAGAAAGTAGGATTAGTTTTGAGAGTGTCCCTCCTCCATTCAATCATACCTATAATGTCATTCCTCTATCTCAAGATGAGATTGATAGAGAACCTTTCTTAGTTTATGGAAAGCATGCTTCTGAACAAGCAACATGCTCAAATGATAAAATTTTGGATACTAACATTTCTACCTCAAGTGCAGATATGTCAGTAGTTCAAGGGGAGCCAGAAGCTGAAAAGTCTGAGTCGAATAACTCTGTGTCTAAATTTGGTGTTGAATTTTGTGATGATTCTATGTTAAATTCAAACACTAATGTTTTTGTTTCTGGTGGTGTGTTGTTTCAGACTGATAATTTTGAAAACAATGGTGTTGTTTCTGATAGAGTTGCTAAATCTGATTTGAATGCTTCTACATCTTCCACGTTTGCTACACAATCTGGTGCTTGTGCTTGTTCTTGCAAATGTGAAAATGCTAGAAAAGATAATAAAAACCAGAAATCTGACAAGAGCAGTACCCAATCCAATGATAATAAACAAATTTGCTTCAATTGTGGTACTGTAGGTCATATTGCCAGAAATTGTTTAAATCGAATGTTTGTGCATCACATGTCTAAAAGAGGAGAGAATGAGTCTAGAGGACGACCTTTAATTAGAAAATCCTCCAGAACTCGCTCTCAAGATGATGACTGAAAAGCAAATCAAAACAAGAAAATGGCAGGTTTTCAAAAGAACAAACAAGTTTTCAATAAATTCACAAACAGTTTGCCAAAATCGACCCAAGCTAAGCCAAAGTCGATTTCGTCAAAGAGTAGGTCTGGATCTTCAAACTCTTCGAGTATAAAATCCACCAGCTCGAAACAAACTGAAAAGAAAGTTGTTTCAAAACCTAAATATCAATGGATTCTAAAATTAAAATCTGATCAGTCATTATCATCCTCTGTACCTGTTGAAAAAGAAAAATCAAAAGAGAAATTAAAAGATGAATCTGTGAATGTTAAGGGTTAACCCAGGACTGTAATGACGTGGGTCCCCAAATCTAAATAATTCCGCTCATCGTGCAGGGACAGTTGCGGAGGAATGTCGTCAGACCATGGTATGTCGACAACGGCTGCTCCCGGCACATGACTGGAGATATCTCCCAACTGCATGACATTCAGACATTTAATGGGGGGTATGTCTCCTTCGCGGGCGGAGAAGGCGGAAAGATAATGCAAAAAGGAATGGTGACGAACGGAGTGCTCAGTTTTGAGAATGTCAACTATGCTCCTGAGCTGAAGCACAGTCTGTTGAGCGTTTCTCAAATCTGTGACAAGGGTTTCTCAACACACTTCACCGATAAAGAATGTCTAATCTTAAAGCCAGGCATTGTCATTCCGGAGGAGTGGATTCTAGTCAAATCTAAGCGGGATGGGAATGCCTATATTAACATGAACAGTAATGTACCCGATGAAGTCACTTGTCTCTTTTCCAGAGTCTCGGAACAAAACGCAATGTTGTGGCATCGTCGACTTGGCCATGCAAATGCAAAGAACCTGAACCGGCTTGCTAAGAACGAAATGGTCTGCGGTCTGCCTGTCATAGATTTTATTACTTTTGAAAAATGTGTTTCCTGCGCTCAAGGCAAACACCATCGGAAACCACATCTGCCAAAGCAGGTCAACTCCATTAATCAAGTGCTCCAGTTTTTGCACATGGACTTGTTTGGTCCGGTCAACGTCCTCAGTATCAACCGAAATTCATATTGTCTCGTTGTGATAGACGATTTCTCTCGTTTCACGTGGGTCTTCTTTCTGTCTAACAAAGCTGGGATCGTTGACCTCATCAAGAAATTCATTGTAATGATCGAGAACCAAGCCAACCACCAAGTGAAAGCGCTACGCACAGATCCTCCATTAAAAAAAGGGAACGAATTTGGAGTGGCCAGGAATCGAATTCACGCCCTCCCATTCATCAACCAGCGCCACCTCCAACTCATCTAGCTTGCTAGATGTTATATCCCTTCTCTTTTTAATTCATAAAGACACCATTTCGCACCTAATTTCGCTAATTTTACATTATTAACCCAAAAATCAATTTCCTTTATTTTCAAAATCCATTTTCAACCAAAAATTTTAGTTTTCAATTTTATTTTTTTTGATCAACACAAACATAACCATATATATATAGCAAAAGGTCAACACTGATAGAACCACTAACAACAGGGATCCCTCATGATCAACACAACTGCAAACTACATAAATAACAACTCCACAAAACCATCCTCCTGCATCTTTCTTCTGTCCCACCAAATCAAGCAGAAATTAGATCTTATTGAAGGCCACAATATCACAGCTCTGAACATATTCATTAATTGGCTCTGCAGTAAGCCTTTCTTCAATGATTGTATCAACAGACACCAGGTCATCCACAATTGTCATCATAATCTGGAGCTTCTTAATACCATATCCAACTGGCACCAACTTTGATGCACCCCATAGCAAGCCCTCCATTTGAACACTTCTAACAGCTTCCTCAAGCTTTTGCATGTCAGTTTCATCATCCCAAGGCTTCACATCCAACAACACTGAAGACTTCCCATATTCTTTCTTTTTCCCAGATGCTTTCACTGCAGCTGCACGTTCTTCAGCAGCCTTCTTTTCCTCCTCAGTCTCCTCACCAAAAAGATCCACGTCACTATCCTCATCTTCATCAGCTACAACCTTTGTATCAGCAATAGGAGGAGTTGCAATGGCTTCTTCTGGGAAAGAAGCGGATCCCTCAACAACAACACCACTGCCTTCAGCAGACACACCAGAAATCCTCAAAAGGGCATCGATATGAGTAAACCAACGAGATACATTCACATACTGGGGTGATGGGGGTTTTGTGAAAGCTGCATGAACAGTGAGATCATCCTTTGAAGCTTGATACCCTGTGATGTAACTGCGAGACAATAGGTATTCATCAAGCTTCTTGAGCCCAGCCTCCGAACCAACATAAAATGTGGGCGCCATTGCTATATAGTCAAGCTTCTTCTCACGGAGTTTGTAGGTTGTTGCCGGCTTGGACGGCTTTCGGTCGAAGCTGTTTTCGGTCCAATGTGGCTTTCGGTCTTCACAGTGTTCGGTCCATGAGTTTTCGGTCTAACTGTCTTCACCGAAAACCCATGTTTGACTAATAAAATTAAATTAAAATGGCCAAAATTAATTGACATAATTGAGAAAATAATTTTAATTTGTTATAATCAAATGTTTTATCACCTGTCTTGTTTTGTGCAGATAAAATGGCAAGTCTCAAAGTTGCAGAAAGTCACAACGTGTCCATTCTTCTTGATGATCCTCCAGTAGCACACAACGAATTCAAATCAATGATGCACGGGCTAAGGGAATGCTGCATATTCACTGCACTAACCTGGAATCCAGTCATTTATCTGAATCTGATCAACGAATTTTAGAGATCTGCAAGCGTGAAGAATGGAGAAAATGTATCAACGACAATTGAAGCTTCTGTCAGAGGATGCAAAGTTGTTATCTCTGAGCAAGTCATCAGAGATATCTTGAACATTGATGACAAAGCTACCTTCCCGACTGATATAGATCTGAGACTGGTTGATGAGTATCTCGAGAAGATGGGATACGAAGGAGTCTTTCCACCTACCCTGAAGAAGCTGTTACCTCCTTACTGGAGGTTTCTAGCCCACATTTTTGTCAACTGTGTATCTGGGAGAAAGGGTGGTTCAAACGAAATATCCTCGAGAAATACTCAGGAGATCGTTGCATTGGCTGCTGGGATTGACTTCAACTTCTCAAGGTTTATCTTGGAGGAGATGATTTCTAATGCTAACAAGAAGTCGAAGGATCAATTCCTGCTCTATCCAAGATTTATTCAAATCTTCATCAACAGCCTATTTCCCGATCTGGTCAAGACAGGAGAAACACTTGACTTGAAAGCCTTCGGACCAAACATTGTGAGCCTCATCAAGCAGAACCGTAAGGGGAAAATAATGTTTCACGGAAAGTACCCTCTTGTAAAATTTGGAAAGTTTGCTGAGCTGTCAGAATCTTCAGAATCCCATGGGTCGTCTGATCAAATGTCAACTGATCAAACATCGTCAGCACATGCAAACGTGAATGACGATGTTATCGATACATCATACCATGAGGAAGAAACTGTTACTCCATCCACCATTGTTGCTGAAGATCATGATCTTGAAGATGTGATAGTTCAAAGTGATTTCAGTGAAGGAGGAGAGGATGAATATGAAGATCTTGATTTGTCCGGTTACGACGAAGATGATGTTTCGATGCAGTTTACTGGACTTGAGCACCCTTTGTCAAATGAAAACCTCGATGACTTCCTCAACGATATCGATGATGGTGCCAATCAAACACCGTAGATAAGGGAGAAAGCTGACGATCGAGAAGTTGAGCCTCCGGTTATCGTTCAAGTGGCTGATTCTTCAACTCAAAAGGACACATCATCAGGGATTCCTCCCCTTGATAATGTGGTTCCTACATCCGAGCCAATTACAAGTGATACCCAGACAGTCCTGACCTCCCAGCCCCCGATGAAAAGACGCAGAATTGATCCAAGGGTGGGAGTAATTTTTCCTGACCCAACTCAAACCACAGAGACTCCTCCATCTACAACTGGTGCCCCTTCCTCATCTGTGCCCATTCAAGAAGGCCCCAGTTCTACTAATGAAGCTGGTGGTTCATCTGCTGGCCTAAGTTTGTCTCCTCCAAGGCCTTATCATGATGCTGCCTCTGAGAGGCTAGCCATGCATCTGGCCCAGAATTTAAGTCCAACTCACTCCTCCCGCGAAAAAGGAATATCATTTGAGGAGAGTATATCTGGAGATGATGATGTGTCAGTGCCCGAGCTGAGAGAGGAGATTGGTGTGCTGAACCAGAAATTGAGAAAGACCTCATGATCAGTCAGCATGAGTCTCGTATTGCTGATCTTGAGGCCACCAATGCTCAGCTTATCACTCGTACCGATGATCTCGAAGCAGATAAAGCTCTGAAGACAAAACAGATCACCGATCTTCAGACGCATTTTGGTTTGTTGACCGCCAGCTGTTATGATCTGAAGAAGAAGCTGGAAGAAGAACTTGGCGATAAATTCAAGTCATCTGTTGATGAGCCAAGAGTCTATCTTCCCAATCAAGACGCTCCCGTGGTTCCACCTCCTACAAGACCAACTACCATTGTCGATCGATTTGACAAAGAACCAGCGCAGGCTCCAAACGTCGTGGCTTTAAAACGTGCTAAACAAGCCAAGTCTGCTGAAAAGGGTCAATTCTTATTCAAGAGGAGCTCAGATCAGAATGCTCCCGGGGATCAACCAAACATCACCGTTACGGATCTTGGAGAACATCGTTTCAGGGACATATATGGTGATAGGTCCGGGATCATCTCATGGGGATTCCACGACACGCTGAACATGTAGATCGTGAGAAGGAAGAGTGGAAATACTGAATTGTACAAAGATGCTCACGACTTCCACTCCTGGACCAGGGTTGATCTTACGGAGTTGTCTAAGGCTCCTTTTGCAAATCCATCTCATGAACCCAAGGCGACACAGTTCAAGTCATTTTTGGAAGATCAAGTGGCTAAGGGCTTTCCCTCAATGAAGACTGGAGAGTCTATCATCAAGATTTACCAAAGTGTCATTGATCCCAAAACCAATCAGCCTCTTCGGTCAGTGATGTGGCCCGCTACTGCTCAAGTAAAGCAGATCCCTATCCTTCAGAACCATCCAGATGGATCTCTAAAATCCATGCAATACTGTGTGTTTGATGAAACTACAGCTTCCGCTGTCATCAAACTTGAAAATGGATGTATACGCTTGTATGACAAGAGGGATCTGCTACAATCTGGAAGGTGGGATATACATCAGCTTTCTCATCATCAGATCAAGGTAGCTGAAGACCTTTTTGAATCTGCTGCTAAGGAGTACACTGCCATGGTTGCTGGTATCATTCAAAAGGAGATGTGGAATGGAGCTATGGGAAAGTCAGATGTGCTGGTTGTTGACAAAGACTGAATCATGCTAGCCCCAAACCAAGGGGGAGATTGAAGGGTCAATATATATGGTTTGGGCTAGGTATCAAATGTATAGATGAGTTAGGGCATTTGTCTTTGTATTTTGGAGTCTTTTGTATATGTTTGATGTTTTCGGTCTAGGAAGCTTTCGGTTAAGGTGTGACCGAAAACCAGTTTTCGGTCTGCTGACAGAAAACTGTTTTCGGTCCTTGTGGGTATATATAGGATGTCAGGCTGTCAGATCTAAGAGTTGTTCATTTTGCAGTTTTTGGTCCTTGAGTTGTATCAGACATTTCCTTGTGTGAATTGTATGCAAGCTCAAGTTTCATTCCATATTCTACTCCATTTCTTCTTTATTTCTTATGCTTGATTGATCACTGGTGAAGATCCTTCTTTCAAGGACCTTACATTATTTGAGGATCCTAGTACCATAACAGTCATGCAAGATAACTAAGAAAGAAATATGAAAAAGAAATACAACCATTGAATTAAAAAGGGTTGCGCACCAACCCAGCAAAAAGTTAATTGTCTTACATTACTGATGAAACAGAAAAACTACTTAGACTAATTTCATGCAGGCCTAGACCTTAGCCTGGTCATCATCGACCGCATCATTCTTATTTTCCTCCTCTACAGGCTTCAACTCAGGTTCCTCAGTAGCGGTGATACACTTGCCATTTACTTTTGCTAATGCCTCGCGCCATCCAGCTACATTCCAAGATCCTGAGTTCTCAAGATCCTCCGCCAGCTTGATCTTTTCCTCCTAAATAGCTACCACAACACTTGCTTTTGAGTCGGCAATAACCTCCTCGATCTCCAAGATGTGCTCCTCCTCCTTCTCAACCTTTTGTTTGCTCAGCAACTCCACCCTCCAAAGAAGATCCTTGTTGGTTGTCTTCCATATCTTCTCTTCCTCCTTTAGAGCATGTTCAGCTCTTTCAGCACAGATCCTAAGATCAGTGGAGAACTGAGAGACATGAGCGAAGATCTGAAAGAAGCACAACATCAGTAAAGGTAAAGGAAAGAACAGGTAAAAAGCTAACTATATAAGTAAATTGACTTAAAGCCTGAGAAAAGGAAGTTAATTTCCCAAGAGAATCCTCAATGATAAGGTTCTCAAGGCATAGATCTGTAGCCTCAGAGGTCTCTCTTTCGAGATCCTAAAGTCTTCACAGTCAGATCAAGTGGAGTATTTTACGAAGGAGGGAGAGTAGAACCTTTTCGTGCTTGACCGTAATCAAGCTGCTAGTCATGTCATCTTTAATGTCTACCAAAGTGAAACGAGCACTGGATCGAGTGGTCTTGGAGCCTACATAAATGTAAAGACCCCTCTATGATTGAAGATCATAAAACTAACCAGAAAAAAGAGAGGAGGATTTATACTTGTAGCCATGGAAGCGGTGTTGGAGGAACCCTCTTGGAGACTGGATTGGTTGAGCTTAAAGGATCTATCCGCCCCAGGGAGTGCGAGAATGTTAATGATCTTCTCCTCTTTATCCTCAGCAGCAGAAATAACTTCTCCACGCTTGAAACCTGTAACAAAATAAAAAAGAATAAGAAAGTAAATTTCACAATCTTTTAAGATAATCTTGAAATCCTACCCTTCTTAATCCATTCTTTGGGCAAAAGATCCCCACTGGGAATGGAATCACGCCTGACGAAGAAGCATCTCTCCTTCCATGTCCCATCGTTGTGTTTTGTTTTCAGCATAAGAGGCGATTTGTTTTTAACTTTGAATAGGAAACGAGAATTGTTGAAAGTTGAAAGATCATATACATGGGACAATTCAGCCAAACCCATGTCAAGATCATGAGTTTTATTCAGATGCTCAACCCAATACAAGATCCTCCAAATAATAGGCATCACTAGGTTGTAAGGGAGCTTTGTAACCTCAAAAAATTCAAAAATCACACGATAGAAAGGGAATTTTATGCCTAAAGAAAAAGGGTACTCTGGAAAGCACACCC